CTCTCAGATCACGGAGTCGTAATCTCCAGGAGACAAGAGCGTCTGTTAGGATGCGTACGAGATCCGGAGACTAAGAGATAGAATCTGTCACATATTTCGATTCCATTATCGGATCTTCAGTTGGCACGTGATAAGCCCTTTTGTCAAAATTTTCTAGATCGACCTCCTAGGAGAGGATAATCACCACCCAAAATCCGGGTTTCCACACACAAACTTCTTCGAAGAAGATCACCAACCCGATATTGGCTTGAGATAATGTGATGTAGAAGAAAAGAAGACAAGAAATTAGAAGCCGAGTAGAGGGGAAAAGGCAGAGCCATGTCTGATTTGGTGTTTATGGTGATATGGGCATATGGTTTCTTTCCATATATGTCTAGGGTTGCGGCGACCGGCAGCGGTGGATTGGAAATGGCGCCGACGATGGAGGGTTAGGGAAGTGAGGGGTCGGGTGATTGTAGGAGATAAGCTAAAAAGTTGTCGGGTCACGGGTTGGGTTACTGGTTGGGTTAGGGTTGCGGTTATAATGATGTGGCGGGTTGGGTTTAAATTTTTCTGGTTAAATTAGACTTATTAGTCCATTTTGTTAGCCACATCAGCAGATAACATACTCAATTAACAGAGACTGACGGAGACTAACGGAGAGTGACCAAACTTGAAACGTTTAACTAATTCTAGTAACCATGAACGAAATTAAATATTTTTAGTGACTAAACATAAACATTTTTAGTAATTCCAGTGACCAACGTTGCAATTTACCCTTAATGATAATTTGATTATATATTGGTTAATCTGGTTAACCAATTAACAAAACCGATTCAACTTTAGTTTGGTTAATTTGGTTGTTGTATTAGTTTGGACGGTATGGTTATGATATTGTATTCCATGATTAATGAAATTCAGCCTTATTTGATTTGATAATAACCATGATAACCATTTGAACACCCTACTCCCACCTATTGCCATCACTGCTTTTGGTCCATGAACCTTCTATCTGGTTTAACACTTCTGTAAGGGAATAGACCCACGATTACCTTATGTGAGCAACACGTATTGGACCACACAATTAGGGGTGTTCAAACAGTTTGGTTACCGTAGTAACCATTTTAACCGGTACTATTTGGTTAATTTGGATAATTGGTTTGGTTTGGTTAAAGTTTTTAGCTTGTTTGGTTTAGGTGATTTGGTTTGGTTTCAGATACTCCTAACCAGTCAAACCAAATTAACCAGTTAAGTAATTAGTCATATATCTAACATATATTATATACACATAATACTTTGCATAACCACTTAAGAGTTAACATTCATCCATTTTAGACTCATAAAATATAAAGCTCAATATTGCTCATATAGTGTATATTTGTATATGTAAAGTCTAGACCACATCATATGGACACCTACTTTAGATAAATTTCATACATTATGATGAATGAAAACTTGAAAAAAGGTCATTTCCAGCCTATGATAATTGCTAAGAGACTAAGTCAATTTACACAAACACAACAATTCATTAACCCATACCATTGTCATAATTTTTTGTTAGGTCAACATTTCATACATTATGATGAATGAAAACTTGAAAGGAAGGTCATTTCCGACTTATGATAATTGCTAAGAGACTAAATCAATTTACACAAACACAACAATTCATTAACCCATACCATTGTCATAATTTTTTGTTAGGTCAATACATCTATACTAATCGTAAGATAATTGTCTTAGTTGCATGTTTTTTTGTTAAGGGTCAACTATAACTACATTTTGATTGTTATGGTTTATTCATTATATAAATTTCAAATTGTTGCATTAACCTAAAAAATTTCATCATCAATGATTATTTGATTTTATATTAATTAATCTGGTTAACCAATTAATCAAACCAATTAAACTTTAGTTTGGTTAATTTGGTTATTTTATTAGTTTAGACGGTTTGGTTGTGATATTATATTCCATGGTTAATAAAATTTAGCATTATTTGGTTTGGTTATAACCATTGTAACCATTTGAACCACCCTAGACACAATAGGTCCCAATAGGCATTACTTCTGTAAGGGAACGCATACAGTGCTTCTAGATCACAATGAAAGTCACCTCGTGGCTAGCCAGCAGAAGCATGGTAATGTTTCTAGATAGAAAATATCATTATCTGCGAGCAAAGACCATTTGCTCGTCGGATCTTTACTTGCACAGGAAATGGACGTTTTTGAACAAATTCAGAGATTGCATAGTTGATAAAGTTGAGTTCAGCAAACACTATAAAGTATTCGCTCCCAGAATAGGTCTGCTGTTCAACAGTTTTCAAAGATTCAGTTTAAAGAAGCTCTAAGTAGCCATCTCTTTACTCACGCACTTGGAAGAGAAGCACAATGCAGCCGTTGCTTCTCGCCTACTGTAAGCAAGCCCGGACCTAGTCAGACGAATTATATCAATTCAACAACAAAGTCAGACCGTTAAGGCGAAAAGTAACAAGAAATTGAATTTTCAGATCACGAAAAAAGCAATTGACATGAGAAGTAGATCCCTCGGTTTTTCGCCTAGATTCCACCCGGTACATGAAACTAGAGAGTACATGGTTCCTCAACCGGTGCAGCGACAGGGAGCACCATGCCCTCTGTTCAGCACATTCATGTACATTTTCAGATTACTAAATTTTCATCGTCACCGGGATACCACGGGTGAAAACAACAGCAACTAGAACCGTTAGTTTCTACAAAAATCAATGCTACTTGTTCCACGAAAGAAACACAAAAACAGAGAAACAATTTGCTGGGAGATATGATCAGATAGAGCTAATACAAAGGTCAGCCATCATCAAGGCAATCAAACCAAAAGGTAAATAATAGTTCCTCACTTCCATCTCCCAGCAAACAAAGATTCTCATTTTATAAGATATTTAATCAGTACAGGGTAATTAAACAGTTTTCAGCAAAAAAAAAAATTAAAAGCAGAGCAGAAAACCTGGCATGAAAAAGAATAGAATGGATCAGATCTAGTTCGTGAGAAGCCATCATCGCGGCGATCAAACCAATAGGGAAACATATGTTCGTTCATCACGCCATTCCATCCTTTATCACACAATGATAAACATTTTGAAAAAGCGACCTCTTTAACACAATAAACAACCAGTCCAGCTGCAAATCACAGCAACACAGAATCCGTAAATAGCTTCTGATCATGGCAACTGGACTGCAGCAGGGTTTGAAAGGACGGGACAGAAAGCAAAACGGCCATGGAGACCTTGGCTGAATAAGAACCATGGCGGCGAGATTTTAAGGTGGATGGGAAGGGGAATTGTCTGCCGAGGACTGGTTCCCTTAGCTACTACAATGGATAAATACTTAAAACCCTAGCCAGGCGTCTAGGTTATTTATAACCAAAACTCTGTCAGTTGGACTTCGTCTTAAAGCCCATGGGGTGGCCCAACACCCATTTTTTGTTCCTGGGCTGAAACAAGGTTCAGATCTTCTTCTTTCTAACCCGAGCACAGTTCAGGTCCATTTCATCTAAAGGCCCAAAATTCAACATTCTTTTTTTGTTTTTTTTTTTTTGTAAAAATAAAATAACTAATACAACTATCGAAAAATATTACTAACGTCTTATTTAATTCAATATGACAATATTAACTACGTTTTAGACGTTTATTACATTTGTATATTGAACTTTTGTTGATTGTTAGATATAACGGTTGACCAAGCAGTAGTCGACTTAATATTAACTTTCCCTAACATGGTAGAAAGCATACATACGTAAATGCCACGTCACCGATATGTTTTTTTAGAGAGCGAATAGGGTACAAAACACATATACTAAAAAAATTCTACAAAACTCCATATATGATTGTTGAGATTTACCTCATCTAACTGTTAAAAAGACACACTAATAAGATAGAGTGTAAGAGGCGCGGTCTGATAATTTTAACTTTTTTTTTGGGCTGACCGCCTATAATGCATCTCAAAGAAGAGAGTGAAGCTTTTTTTACCAGTAAAAGGATGTTTTTTTAATCTCTCTTTTTTCTTAATTAGCTAATATCTCCTTTGTTTTAACTCAAAATTTGAGTTTTTTATGTAGAAATTACGCAGTACTTAAGATCGACACAACGATGCATATTTTGCTATATTTCGAGTGAATAAAGTCATTCTAAACACTTTTATTGTAATCTTATCATTGTTGCATATGTCATATCATGATCTTACTACTATGGTAACACTAACTGCACATCATACCATTATCATATCATGATATTATCACTATACCATAATATAACATTGATATGATGTCATCAAATTATTATAGGGTTAATACCTTAGTTTGGCCCGAACTATACACATACTTTCTACTTTGGCCCGTGGTTTTCGAAATTGCTATTCTGGCCTGAACTATGTATAATGATGGCAATTTCAACCCGCCCCGCGGGTATTACGCGACCTGACCCGCGATGGGGCGCGTATTACCCGACCCGCATTAGCATGGGGCGGGTCATGGGTATCTACTTCCGACCCGCCCTGCCCCGCCCCGCCCCGTTCTAGACTCATTGTATCTCAATTTCTTACAATTTCTATACATATTTCTCCTATTTTGACTTTTTTCACTAGTTAGAGTCGCTCTTTCAACTTGTTAGACTCAATTAACCTTTCTATTATCACTATTTTTCATTCTTAAATTGTTTTACCCTTCGTTTTATCGTAAAAAGTAAAATTTACTTGTATTTTTTTCGAATAATATGTAAGAGTGGGTCGACCTGTCCCGCCCCGTAGTAGCATGGGGCGGGGCATGGGAATTGAGGTACCCGCCCCGACCCACCCCATTGCCATCACTAACTATGTACCATACATCCTAATTTGGCCCGGAGCTGGGTTTGACCGTCAAATTGGACGGTCAACTCCGTTGAACGTTAGTCAATGACCAACTCACTAGGCATGTCAGCGAGCATGGAATAAAAAATTTAATTTTTTAAATTTCAATATTATTTTCTTTTCTAATAATAATAATAATAATTAAAAAATTCAAAATCGAATTTCTGTGTTCGCCATCGACGCCTTCTTCTGCGCAACCGACATCCAATTATTGTTGCCAGCGGCGGCGCCGATGACTTCCATGGTCATGAGGTCTCGCCATGAGATTGCTTGGTGGTCATTGGTGGAAAATAATAAAGTGGTGGAGGGGTGGTTGGCGAATGATGATGGGTCATTGGTGTGACGGTGGTGGAGGAAATGTGGGAAGGCGACGGCAGGAGTTTCACCGTCGGGGAAGGCGTCAGAGGGTAAGATGGGGAATTCAGAGAAGAAGTAGTCGGGAAGTTGTTTGTTCATCATCATAAGCATTGATTGGTGGTCTTCGGCGATGGATGCCGATTCATGATTAATGTTCGAGGACAAGAAGACGGTGACGGTGAGCGGCGTGCTTCCTTTGATGAAGAAGAGGTCGTACTGCCGACGGGTGAGGATGAATTTGTGAACTCGAGATCCAAATGGATTCCGCCGAAGAGAATCGATTCGTCTGAAAAACTTCTGCTCAAGGCTCTGTCCCCAGCGCTCGCCGAGAAACCTCTCGTTTCCGCTCGATTCGTTCACCGGAAGTCAGTCATGGTCAACACTCCCGAAGGTAATTCACTTACCAGAAACTCCCACTCTCGAACCATTTTTCCTCCTTTTGGTCGCTACGGCGAGACTCAACCCACTCCCGGCGCCGATTTCCCTATTGTTGTTGGCAAAGCAGTCAAAATCGGGATTTTACCTAAAATTGAAAATTGGGTAAAATCGGAATCGTAAAATCGAATCGTAGAATCGTAGGATTTTAAGTACCACATAAAAATTAATATTAAATAATATTAATAAGGTAAATCATTAATAACACAAAGACATATAACATTTAAAATAATAATTTTCAAAATTAATGTTCCAAAATCATAATTTTAATTGTTATTTAATGCGTAACTCAAAATAATTTATAAGGAAGGGATAGAGCTCATGGGGTTTGGCTCTTGTTTTTCATGTTGCGTCTAGGTAGTTTAACTCAAAATAGTATTCCGACATCGTCTACTAAGCATGATTTAAAACTAAGAATAAGTGAACTCCAATAAGAATTTTAATGTCATTGGTTTGGTACAAATATATTCATTAATCAATTAATTTGTTATAATGATGTTAATTCTTTCATACTTACAATATTATAACAACTATTTTACCGATGAGTTAAACAAGGGAAGGGAAAGTGGTTGACCGAACCCTAATTAGGTTAATTTTTTCTTTTCAAATGTTCTTTTAATAGGAAAAATATTCGAGAAGATCCCCGTCATTGCCCTTTCCACCGAAATAGTTTTGCTTTTTTTGAATTGGCTCAAACTGCCTATTTTGTTCACATAGGATCAAAATCCCGATTTTGGTACGATTTTACGAATTTAACGATTTTAATCTCGATTTTGAACAATTTTAAGGTCCATCGATTTTATATTAAAATCAGGATCGGAATCGCTAAGTAAAATCCTAAAATCCTACAATTATACGATCAAAATCCCGATTTTGACTGTATTGGTTGTTGGGCATCCATTTCTCTTTTTTTTGGGCTGTACAGTCTGAGAAGGGGATAGGGTTGTAGGGAAGCAGGGTATAGGTTTCCCCGATTGAGGTAAGAGGGGAGGGGATAAATTGGATTTTTTTTATTTTTTTTTCATTTATTATGATTATTAGAAAAGGAAATGAATATAGATATTTAAAAAATTATTTTTTTTATTTCATGCTTGCTGACGTGGCAAGTGAGCTGGCCATTGACTAACATTCAATGGCGTTGACCGTCCAATTTGACGGTCAAACCCAACTCCGGGCCAAATTAGGAAGTATGGTATATAGTTCATGCCAGGATAGCAATTTCGGAAACCACGGGCCAAAGTAGAAAGTTTGTGTATAGTTCGGGCCAAACTAAGGTATTAACCCATTATTTTATGAAGTATAAGACCTCATACCAACATCATAATCATATCATGATATAATCATTATAGCATAATGATAATATCACGATATGACATTGATATGATGTTATTAAATTATTTTTTCAAATATAAGACAACAACACAAGAAGAAAGTCGACTCGCCTCCTCTTTCTTTTACCCCAAGCCCTATTTTATAGGAAAAATGTACAGTAGAAATACTGTTGGGCTTGGGGTGTTGATTTCAGATTGGTTCTGCGGTTTGTAACCTACTATGTAGGCATACTGTTGCAATCAGTACCGGGGTTGGGTTTTAGTCGGACCAGATTTAGGGTTGGTCCGAACAGTTGACTGGGTCTGGCTTTTGGTTTACTTGGGCTTTGACCCATGTTCACTTTTGACCAAGGATAGAAATACTGTATCAGAGGTTGTACCAGAACATTTAGCGGTAGGGTATTTTATGCTAAAACTATGGTTTAACCATGGTTCAACCGCTTAATACCGCTAAATACCGCTGGTACGATATGGTATTTTCTAGTATAACTGCCGGTACGATACGGTATGTCAATTCTTGCTTTTGACTAGTCTGAGCTTTGACTTCTGGGGGTTGGGTCTGGCCCGAGTTTGCTTTGGCTTTGGCCGAATTTGTTTTGATTGCTTAATTTTGTTTTGTAATTGCAAATTAGCAGTGTAATTAATTATAATTATTATGCATTGTAATCATGATTTTAGTTGTTTAGCATTTTATTTATTTTAATAAATTTTTATGGCTTACATTTTATTATTTGGAAATTACGATTATATTCTCACAAGACCTAATCTCCTAAGAATCAATTAATTCGCATGACACCCAAAATCGAGCTTAAGCCTAATTCTTGTAAACGTGTCAACTTGTCACAAATAGATTGTATCAATTGAGATTTGTTATTGCTTATCTCATTGAATTATGGCAAAGAAGACCCAACCCAAGCACTAGAAGTACATTTAAGCTAGAAGGTACTATCATATCATGATATTATCACTATACCATAATATAACATTGATATGATGTCATCAAATTATTTTATCAAGTATAAGGCCTCATATACCAACATCACAATCATATCATATCGTGATGTTATCGTTATAGCATAATGATAATATCACGATATGACATTGATAAGATGTTATCAAATTATTTTTTCAAATATAAGACAACAACACCAGAAGAAAGTCGACTCGCCTCCTCTTTCTTTTTACCCCAAGCCTTATTTTATAGGAAAAATGTACAGTAGAAATACTGTTGGGCTTGGGGTGTTGATTTCAGATTGGTTCTGCGGTTTGTAACCTACTATGTAGGCGTACTGTTGCAATCAATACCGGGTTTGGGTTTTAGCAGACCAGATTTAGGGTTGGTCCGAACAGGTGACTGGGTCTGGCTTTTGGTTTACTTGGGCTTTGACCCATGTTCATTTTTGACAAATGATTGAAATACTGTATCGGAGGTGGTAACGAAAAATTCAGCGGTTGGGTATTTTATGCTAAAACTGTGGTTTAACCGTGGTTCAACCGCTTAATACCGCTAAATACTGCTGGTACGGTACAATATTTTTCTGGTCTAACCATCGGTACGGTACGGTATTTCAGTTCTTGCTTTTGACTAATATGAGCTTTGACTTCTGGGGGTTGGGTCTGACCCGAGTTTTCTTTGGCTTTGGCCGAATTTGTTTTGATTGCTTAATTTTGTTTTGTAATTGCAAATTAGCATTGTGATTAATTATAATTATTATGCATTGTAATCATGATTTTAGTTGTTTAGCATTTTATTTATTTTAATAAATTTTTTATGGCTTACATTTTATTATTTTGAAATTGCGATTATATTCTCACAAGACCCAATCTCTTAAGAATCAATTAACTCGCATGACACCCAAAATCGAGCTTAAGCCTAATTCATGTAAACACGTCAACTTGTCACAAATAGATTATATCAATTGAGATTTGCTATTGCTTATCTCATTGACTTGTGGCAAAGAAGACCCAACCCAAGCACTAGAAGTACATTTAAGCTAGAAGGTCATTCAAGATTTGCTATTGCAAATCTTAAACTGAAACTAAATTATATTTGATTAAATACGTTTTAACCTGGTCAAAAAGTGGTGTCCGATGAGAATAATGGTCTTTTGACTTAGAAAAAGATGGGGTGTAACATTGCTCCTCCTCTTCTCGGCCTTGATCTCCACCATTTGGTCATGATCTCCTGCTTTTGCTCTCTTTCCTACACTTGTGACCCCTTTTCAGAGCTAAAATGCATGTATCATCTAATACATCTGAAAATGACATAAATTTCTCAGGGGAACGGATTTAGTTGTGGATGATCAATTTAACTATGTTGAATGGTACAATGCATCTCTTGACTTATCGATAACATAGGTAATGTCTAATTGAGAATGATCAATTACACAAGTATATAACATGGATTACATTAGTTGAGAATGATCACTTCAGCTATGATGGTACATAACAGTGGTAACATTAGCCATGAAATGTTGCAAAAGCCTTGACATCACAACTTGCCACAACAATCAAACTCTCTGAATTCTACAAAATGCAGTAAAAGCAATTACACAAATTACACAAAACATCTTGTTTGTTATCCTACTTTCAAGGCTAGAAATCACATTATCCAATCTACTCAGTTCCAATATCATCCTTACATTATCTTCTAAGGTTCTACTTAACACTTTTAACAACTTCCTATTATTTATTCCAATCAATAAGGTTTGTTTTAAAGTCACCTTTTTGATCTTCGTCGTCCAGGTCTTAAAAAAAGCTGCCCCACCACAGCTGGCGGGGTGGTTCCTCTAACCTATTCAAGGTGAAAAAGGGAGTTGCTCTCCTTTCTTTAATTCAATTGGATGTTAATGTAATTGGCAAGGAGGGATCGATCTGTCTGTGCTCTCTCTCTTCTGTCTGTTATTGGCCGTCATGGATCGGGGGATCGGGGATGAGAGCTAAAAATTGGGTTTCGTTCGATGGCATCTGTAGAGTAGCAAGAGCTAAGTGAATGGCGGCTCTGTTTTGGATACTCTAACCGATCTGGCAGTACGATCCAAAAAATGGTCGAGCTGGCTTGGTTGGTACATCAAGCATATCGACATATCAGGAAGTACATAACAACATTCCTAGATAAATCTTTGATGAAGTCCATTTTCTACTTGTCGTGATAAACTTCTTGTCGTTAGCGAACAGACTCTTTTGCTCAAATTCTTCCCGGTTGATTGAGTAAAAGATGAGAACACGTCCGCTAAGGCAAGAGTTATCCTACCAACAAAAAGCGGGCGTGTTCTTTCTTACTTACTATATGACTTGTAAAGCTGCCGGGTGCTCTGAGTGCGCATTCAAAGCAATCTATCGGGA